TGGAGAAAGTCCAACACTGTTGCTGCTCTCCTTGGCGTGGTGGTCCTGTAAAGACGACAGCAAGAGCACAGCGCAGAACGCTCAATGAGGTGAGGAGGAATCCTAGAGTGTCAGCGAAAGACTTGCAAACATCTCTGGCACATGCAAAGATTTTTGTTGATAAATCTACAATATGTAAAACCTGAAACCAGAATGGAGTTCATGGGAGGACACCACAGAGGACACCACTGCTGTCAAAGAAAAACATTGCAGCATGCCTGAAGTTTGCAAAAGATCATCTGGATGTTCCACAGCAGAACTGGCAAAACTGTGGACAGATGAATCAAAAACTGAGTTGTTTGGAAGGAACACACAACTCTATGTGTGGAGAAAAAAAGGCACAGCACCAAAATCAAAACCTCATCCCAGCTGTGAAACACGGTGGAGGGAGCATCATGGTTTGGGGCTTTGCTGCCTCAGGGCCTGTGGGATTACTGGCATTGGCGGAAAAATGAATTCTAAATTGTACCAAGACTTAAGACCATCTGAACACCAACTGAAGCTCAAACGAGGACGGGTGATGCAACAGGACAATGACCTCAAACATAAAAGCAAATCAACAACAGAATGGCTCAAACAGAAGAAAATGCACCTTCTGGAGTGGCCCAGTCAGAGTCCTGACCTCAACCCGAATGAGATGCTGCGGCATGACCTCAAGAGAGCAATTCACACCAGACAACCCAAAAACATTGCTGAAGTGAAACAGTTTTGTGAAGAGGAATGGTCCAAAATTCCTCCTGACCGTTGTGCAGGTCTGATCTGCAGTTACAGGAAATGTTTGGTTGAGGTTATTGCTGCGAAAGGACCGACAACCAGTTATTAAATCAAAGGTTCACAGACTTTTTCCACCCTGCACTGAGTTTTTACATGTTGTATTCAATGAAAAACTGAACACATAGAATTTCTTATACAATATTAGTTAAAGCAGAATGTGTTTTTCTGTTGTTGGGACTTAGAAGGTCAGGACACATTTTATGCCCAATCTTTGCAGAAATCCAAGTAATCCCAAAGGGTTCACATACTTTTTTCTTGCAACTGTATGTTTTTCTCTGTTTGGTCCATTTTGGTCCATTCTCAGACAGAATGTGAGCGCCCTCTGGTGGACAGAAGACAGAACCCAACCTTGACAAACCTTTGGAAGTATAAAGTACTGAAGCCGAGAGGGGTCACAACAAACGCAAACACCTCAACAAATACAAATGCGACAACACAACAAAAAGCCACAACACACCAAAAAAAGCCACAACGGAAATGACCGCGGGACTCTCTTTGAATGCAAACGCCGCAACAAATAGAAACGCCACAACAACACAAAAGTAAAGGAACAGAGAAGTTGGAAACGTAAGTATAAGTAATTTATTGTTTTATCATTATTCGTTTCACGTTGTAGTTCTTCTTCTTCACTTGCCGCTTGATCGGTCCGTCGGAAAATAGAGTCCCGCGGTAACTTCCTTTGTGGCTGTTTGATGTGTTGCAGCATTTGCGTTTGTGTTGTGGTGTTTGTATTTGTTGCGGCGTTTGCATTCAAATAGAGTCCCGCGGTCATTTCCGTTGTGGCTTTTTTTTGGTTTGTTGTGGCTTTTTGTTGTGTTGTCGCATTTGTATTTGTTGCGGCGTTTGTGTTTGTTGTGACCCCTCTCGGCTTCCGTAATAAAGAGAGAGAGAAGGGTTTTCTCAAATATTTCACACATATAACACCCACACACAAGTGAGGCTCATTTCTGCAGGATTTTTCTGTCAAACTCCACTATTAACATCACTTTTTTTGTTCAACGATGTAAAAATAGATGAAAAATGTCGGACTGTTTTACACCGAGGAGAGTGAGTCTGTCGGAGCACACAGAGACACTGAGGAGCCATAAGACACGAGCCTAAACCCAGGGAGCAGAGTGTGAGTGAATGTGGTGTTGAAGGTGTAGAGGTGGGTCAGTTGGTCAGAGGAGACTGTGTAGAAGGACAGAGAGCCAGCAGGACAGTCCACAAACACTGCTACTCTCCCACAAGAGGAGCAGGGCTGAGGGAGACGGGTTCGATAGTTATTATGGCGAACAGAGAAACCATCTTTAGAACACTCCAGACTACAGGACTGATCATTGAATCCAAACAAACTGTCAAAATCGTCTCCTTTCCTTCTGATTCTTCTGTAAGACACTGATATAGAAACTCCTCCACTCCACTGGACCTCCCAGTAACAGCGGCCACTCAGACCAGTGGAACACAAAATCTGAGGCCTGAAGTCAAATCTGTCCTGATGATCTGGATACGGCTGCTTCTCTGTCACACGTGTCACCTTCTTGTTGTTGTCAGACAGTTTGAGTTCTCTGTTTGCTGTGTTTGGATCCAGAGTGAGATCACAGAAATCTGATGGAGAAAAGACACAACACAGCAGCAGTTAGTCCCCTGTCCACTCTCATCATTCCACTCTTCTGTTTGTCTCACATTTATATGAGTGTAAAAACATTTCCTTTCACAGCCCCACACCAGTCTATTTCAGATTATTCTCAGTGTAAATCTGGAGTCTATTTCAGATTATTCTCAGTGTAAATCTGGAGTCTATTTCAGATTAATCTCAGTGTAAATCTGGAGTCTATTTCAGATTAATCTCAGTGTAAATCTGGAGTCTATTTCAGATTATTCTCAGTGTAAATCTGGAGTCTACTTCAGATTATTCTCAGTGTAAATCTGGTGTCTATTTCAGATTATTCTCAGTGTAAATCTGGAGTCTATTTCAGATTATTCTCAGTGTAAATCTGGAGTCTATTTCAGATTATTCTCAGTGTAAATCTGGAGTCTATTTCAGATTATTCTCAGTGTAAATCTGGAGTCTATTTCAGATTATTCTCAGTGTAAATCTGGAGTCTACTTCAGATTATTCTCAGTGTAAATCTGGAGTCTATTTCAGATTATTCTCAGTGTAAATCTGGAGTCTACTTCAGATTATTCTCAGTGTAAATCTGGATTTCTCTGGAGTTTGTTGCTGCAGTGACAAAGTGCAGCTCCAGTCTCTGACGTCACTCCACACATTCCTACACTCCTCTGTGCTCCTGGACACACACTTTCTCCTTTAAAGAGGGGCTATGTTCTGAGTTTCCCCTCTCTTTGCTCCCTGTGCTAAGTCCCACCCCCTTCAGAGCACTATCCCAACACACACAACCACTACTGAAACTCCTGCACAAACATCAGGTTTGTCCAGTTGCTGTGTTCAGTTTTGTGTCATGTTTTTTTGTGTTTATGGAGAGTTGTCGTGTGGGAGCATGGGAGATGTGGCTTGTGGGCGGAGCCTCGTACAGGCTCATACTGCTAACAGTAAGGAGGGTTTGAATAGGGCCCTGAAGAGATCAGTAGATTACTCAAACATGGATGAGCCTTCAGGGAGGTTTGTTAATCATTGTATTTATACAGCGCCTTTCAAGACGCCCAAAGTGCTTTACAGTTCATTATTCATTCACTCAACACTGGTGGTGATGGTAAACTTCTACTGTAGCCACAGCTGCCCTGGGGCAGACTGAATGCAGTCTGCATGCATGACAGAAGCAAGGCTGCCAATCTGTGCCATCGGCCCCTCTCACTACCACCATCTCTCACACACACATCTCTCATACTCGGCAATGTGGGTGAAGTGTCTTGCCTAAGGACACAAGGACAGTTTTTGCCACTGGCGCCCCTCTGTGGGTCCTGGAATTCCCAGTGTCTCTATCCAAGTACTGACCAGACCAAGCCTCTGCTTATCTTCTGATATATGATGGGATCAGACTTTGACAAGCCGGTATGGCCACAGACGAATGTCGTTATAATGTGGGAGAAACCTAAAGAAGACGTTTTTTGTATCATTCCCTCTTTAAATGTCTCCATGTGAGACCACAATCCTGTGCTGAGTCCAACAGCTGTGACTGTGTCCGTGGCTCCAGAGCTCCAACCCCCAACCTCTGATGGGGTTTGGTGCTCCTCCTTTGCTCCAGCAGCAGTAGTTCTGATGGGGTTTGGTGCTCCTCCTTTGCTCCAGCAGCAGTAGTTCTGATGGGGTTTGGTGCTCCTCCTTTGCTCCAGCAGCAGTAGTTCTGATGGGGTTTGGTGCTCCTCCTTTGCTCCAGCAGCAGTAGTTCTGATGGGGTTTGGTGCTCCTCCGTTGCTCCAGCAGCAGTAGTTCTGATGGGGTTTGGTGCTCCTCCTTTGCTGCAGCAGCAGTAGTTGTGATGGGGTTTGGTGCTCCTCCTTTGCTGCAGCAGCAGTAGTTGTGATGGGGTTTGGTGCTCCTCCTTTGCTCCAGCAGCAGTAGTTGTGATGGGGTTTGGTGCTCCTCCTTTGCTCCAGCAGCAGTAGTTGTGATGGGGTTTGGTGCTCCTCCTTTGCTCCAGCAGCAGTAGTTGTGATGGGGTTTGGTGCTCCTCCGTTGCTCCAGCAGCAGTAGTTGTGATGGGGTTTGGTGCTCCTCCTTTGCTGCAGCAGCAGTAGTTGTGATGGGGTTTGGTGCTCCTCCTTTGCTCCAGCAGCAGTAGTTGTGATGGGGTTTGGTGCTCCTCCGTTGCTCCAGCAGCAGTAGTTGTGATGGGGTTTGGTGCTCCTCCTTTGCTCCAGCAGCAGTAGTTCTGATGGGGTTTGGTGCACACAGGGGCTGAGACATGTGGCTCTGCGTTGCAGGAGCTTGTTCACAGCTGCTGTCCTTTTGCCAGTGTTTGTGTGAGATCTGCATTTGTTCTGGTGATGAGGAGGACTGACAGCAGAGGCACAGCTCAGAGGAGAACAGGGGACTGGTTTAAATCCACTGTCTCCAGAAGAAGAATGAAGATCAGTGTTGTACATGTTTGAGCTGAAACATGAGTGCAGTTCCACAGCTCCAGACTGGACTCTTCAGGATCTGCTTCAAGAACTGCTCTGGATTTAGTCCTGGATGTAGAGTTGGACTATTGCTGATAATAAAACTATAAAACTGGACACTAAACTCTTCATGTGTTCTTAATGTATTAAATGCTGAAAACAAAAAAGCATAACAGCATTTGCATTTATTTGATACTCACTCTTCCATGGGCAAACTGTTAACCAATGAAAACCTGCAGGCTCCAGTCTGAAGGAGAACACACATGTTTCATTACTGTGGCTCATTAAGGCTTTACGTTTAATCTGTTCAAATGGACTGATTCTTTATGACACTAGTGTTTACGCTACAATTCCTGCTTCACAGGAGCTACAGTGTGAGCACAGGTCCATACCTGAGAGTGTCCAGTGTGCAGTGGGGGTCCTCCTGTAGAGCACACAGGAGCTTTACTCCTGTGTCTCCTGGATGGTTGTAGCTGAGGTCCAGTTCTATCAGATGGGAGGGGTTGGACCTCAGAGCTGAGGCCAGAGAAGCACAGCCTTCCTCTGAGACCAGACAACCTGACAGTCTGAGGACACAGATTATTGGAATCAGTCCATTCATTAGAAACATTCAACCCAAATGAGACAAACAACAAGTCCCATATCTTTATGTGACTTTATCAAATGGGATTTTCCAATGCAAATACCAACAGGTTATGTAATAATAGTGAAGAATATGAACCCCTCTGACCTGAGCTGTTCCAGTTTACAGTGACGACTCTTCAGTCCAACACACAACATCTTCAGCCCTGAGTCCTTCAAGTCGTTGAGACTGAGGTCCAGGACTCTCAGACTAGAGGACTGGGAGCTGAGGACTGAGGACAGAGCTTCACAGCTTCTCTCTGACAGGTTACAGCTGCTCAGTCTGGAGGAGGAGACAGGAGCTCATTAGAGAAGAACTCAGAACAGAAGTGACAAGTTCAGATACATCCTTTCACTCCCAATCTCAACAATCAACCTGTAAAGAACAAAAAAATATTTTATTAATGAAAACAAAAACAGTTACTGTATTTCTCCTGTAGGATGGTGTTGTTTTACTCGTCTTTTAAACCTGGACAGTTTCATTTCATGAAAAAACAGTTTATTTATCCATTTAAAGAATGGACCTAATACAATTAATATAAATGTTCTTGGGACACAGTTGACTTCAAATATGTTCTCATTGGTTGTTGGACAGAAGGAGGAGGTCAGATGTTCTTTCTCGTGTCGTTTGTTTTTTGTCTCTGCTGTTTTGGCTTTGTTTGCCTCCCTTTGTCTCTTCTCTTCTGTGTGTGTGTCTCCTCCACACTCCTTTCTCTTGCAGCTCTGCGCTAGTAGAATGGAAAACAACTACCAATGGGGAATCAAAGTTATTGGTTATAATGTAAATGGGATTGGAAACAAAATAAAGTGTCACAAAACATGATCACATCTTAAATCTTTGGCCTGTGACAGCGATAATACAGCAGACACATTTAAGTGAAATGTAATCACATAAATGCAAACAGAGATGGACTGGACAAAGGCTTTCCTCAACAGGAAGTGAAGTGTAATGCCAGGAGGCCAGGAGGTTGACTACGACCACGGTAAGTCATGTGTAATTACAACTGGCAGCATCAGAAGGCTGGTTCTTACAGGAGCCTGAGGTGTGAATAAACAAACAACCAGAACTGAAGTTTGAACCAAAAATGTGTTGATATGTGTCAAATAAACCAGACAACAACAGACTGATGACTCCATGTGTGTGAGCCGGGCCTTTAAACATGTCTTCACATGTGATGGCTGTCTCTGCTGGGCCTGGTGTCCTGAAGGCTGTTTCCATGTGTCTGACCTCATGTTCCTGGTTGACCTCTGGTCCTCAAACCAGAGGGGGTCTGGTTTGAGGACCACAGGATTTCATCTCTGCTGTTTGCAGACATTGTCCTGTTGGCTCCATCAAGCAGGGACCTGTAATGTGCACTGGGGTGGTTTGCAGCCAAGTGTGAAGCAGCTGGGATGAAGATCAGCTCTTCTAAATCCGAGGCCGTGGTTCTCAACCGGAAAAAGGTGTCTTGCCCTCTCTGGGTGGGTGGAGAGTCCTTGCCTCAAGTGGAGGAGTTCAAGTATCTCGGGGTCTTGTTCTTGAGTGAGGGGAGGATGAAGCGTGAGATTGACAGGTGGATTGGTGCAGCATGGGCAGTGATGTGGTCACTATATCGGACTGTTGTGGTGAAGATTTACCAGTCATTCTTCATTCTTACTCTCACCAAAGGTCATGAGCTCTGGGTAATGACCGAAAGGACAAGATCGCGGATACAAGCGCTTGAAATGAGTTTCCTCTGCAAGGTGGGTGTGCACTCCCTTAGAGATAGGGTGAGGAGCTCACTCACACGGGAGGAACTCAGAGTAGAACCACTGCTCCTCCACGTTGAGAGGAGCCAGTTGAGGTGGCTCGGGCATCTGTTCCGGATGCCTTCTGGGCGTCTTCCTCTGGAGGTGTCCCGGGCATGTTCCATTAGAAGGAGGCCCCAGGGAAGACCCAGGACACGCCAGAGGGACTATGTCTCTTGGCTGGCCTGGGAATGCCTCGGGGTGCCCCCGGAGGAGGTGGAGGATGTGTCTGGGGTGAAGGAAGTCTGGGAGTCCCTGCTTAGACTGCTAACCCCACGACCCGGCCCTGGATAAGACTTTGTGACATTGTCTGTGACGAGAGCAGCACTTTACACACACTCACATCATTTCACACAAGGAGGGGCCCACAAAAGGGGTTTGGGTCGAGACCGAATGGAGCTGAAACAAAAGACCCTGAAGTGGTAAAGTCCCGAGGTGTGACTCATAAAATATCACAGTAAGAAAAAGGAGCAGAAGAATCGTGCTGGAGGCTCTGGCTCCTGGACCATAAATACAGATGGTTTCTACACTTGGAATGCACAGATCTGTTTATGGACGAAAGAGGAGCAGAAATGAGCCTTTACTTTGTAACATCTCCAAAGCTCAACATGTTCTGTTCCACCTTGTGATGTCATTAAGTGGTACATTTCCAGTTAAAAGCCCGTTTTACCTTTGGTTAAGTAGAAATTGTAAATTCCAGGACTGAAATGATCCAGATTATTTAACTGAAGGTGTGTGAAATTTAAAAACGCAGAGGAGCACTGCCTGTATCACCACATGATGACATCACAGAGTGTTTTCTGTTTGTGAGAAGAGCTCAGACTAAATGTGCAGGTTTGTGTGTTAAACATGTGAATGAAACAAAACACAAGTCCAGGTGTGTTTGTGATGAGGAAACGACATTAAAACAGAGATCAGAAAATAGTGCAATATGGAGCTTTAATGCAGGTCAAAGCTCTGAGGTTTTATATTAATCTGTGTGACGATGTTGAGGTGAGGCCTGAGGATGATGAATACGCCACATTCACACTCAGCATCAGTATCTGGCTCATACAGCACATGGAGCATGAAGGACGCAACAGCTCAACTCGTTTTTGTGGTGAATGGACACTTCTAATGTTTGTGATGAGAGGAAAAAACACTTTAAGTCACTATGATTCTTAGTCAAATCCTGTCCACGGTTAGTCAAAGTGTCTTTGTGTCCACAGTAAAGTGGTCCATACCTGAGAGTGTCCAGTGTGCAGTGGGGGTCCTCCTGTAGAGCACACAGGAGCTTTACTCCTGTGTCTCCTGGATGGTTGTAGCTGAGGTCCAGTTCTATCAGATGGGAGGGGTTGGACCTCAGAGCTGAGGCCAGAGAAGCACAGCCTTCCTCTGAGAGCAGACAACCTGACAGTCTGAGGACAC